TTATTGTATTTATTCTGGAACATGTGCTTGCCATCAGACCATAGATGGCGATACCTTCGAAATAATCTCTTCAGGAATAATAACACAAAATCAAACTTTTTGTAAAAAACCTTGAATAACTTTGAATGTCGGAATGAATTAGGTAACCATTGGTTAATATGGGAAACTCGTCTTTTACCGCAGGGAAAAACGTTGTTTTCGAAAAAGAACAGTTGTTATCCCTTTAAGGTGCTGTGTGGTGTGTGGCGACATACTTACCAAGGAAATCCATTGCACCCAACATACTATTTGAGAAAACATGAAACCGGTGAGTCCATGGGAACCAAAGTGCCATCACTAAATGTGTGCATAGCACAAATAATCCACCGCCAGTTCCGAACAGAATTCCAACAGATACAGCCACAAACTGTGGACTATTCGCAAAAGACGTCAGTATCAGTCCCAGTCCCATAAGAGATGCTCCAAGAGCTGTAAATTGCCGAAGACTGAACTCTCCAACTTTAGACAATGCCATGTAGATAAGGTTACTGAGGGATGTTTTGATCGCTAAGTACACCGAGAGCGGGGCCCCTATGAAAAATAAATATAATTTTTTAAATTTGCGTTGGCGATAATTACATTGCGATTTTTTAAATGAGCACCATTAATACATAGCACGGTGACAGGCGCCGAGACTTAGGCCGCATTCAGAATAGATGATCCGCGGACTAACTGATCTGCGGACTAAACATGGCCGACCTCTCATCAAAATAAATTGCTTAATCCCTTGATGGTCTCACCACCTCCACACGCGCCATTAAACGGATTAAATCTCGGCTCCGAGGTTTACCCAGCAGGCAAACGACATTGATTCTACGTTGATTCAACGTTGATCCACCAAAATTAACGTTGATTCAACGGTGAGTCAATGTCGTTTGTCTGCTGGGTAATTGCTAAGCCCTTGGAGGGATTGCGTGTAAGGAGGCGAGGAGTGGTTGAGAACATCCTCTTGTCGAATATCAAGGGCGAGACACCCTTCTAATATGAACCACTGAATATGCCTACTAGGAAATATTTAAATACTCTTATCTTCCTCCACTGAAACTCATTGTTTCCCACCATTCGAAGGCGAGACGCCTAAAAGGGTAACAATAAGTAAAGAGAAAAACAAAGAAAAACAGAATACTCTTCATGCCTGTCTGAACAAGACATGGCTCATTACAGAAAACGAAAACGCCTAACCGTCTACTTACCCGTCTATCTTAAACTTTGCTAAAACCTGAAAATACCAAAGCCATTGGACAAAAAAGCACCTCTACAGCATATCGACTGAGCTCAAACCACAATTGCCCCAAATCTAAGTGCTAAAATGACTCCCTTCGAGGGGGGCGAGGGTCGGCGAGGGTCGGCTTCATATCTTCGGCCTGTCATTCCTAAAAAACTGACCCCTCCCCCCTTCAAATAATCCTGGATCCGCCCCTGCTCCTGCCCTTACTTCCAGGCTACTTTGAATCCACCATATTTGGTCAATTCCTCCATTTAAAAGGATCTCAAATTTCTTGCAACAAACTGCAATGTACCAGTGCTAATGCTATGTACCAAAAGCAAAAGAAAAAGCCTTACCCAGCAGTGCAAGAGACGACTCTGGAAATGTTTCATCCTGTTGGAAACACAAGATTACCGTTCCCCACGAACCTTCAATTCCAATTTCAACCAACAATAGAAGAATACAAATCCCCAGTACAATCCAACCTCTGTAAATACCAGGGGATATCATTGTCGTTTGTCTTTGCTGTCGTGTGTTTATCCCCAGTGTCCTCTCAGCACGCGTCTCCTCAGTTTTTTCTCACTTAATATTGAACAGAAATGACATGTCCTTGATAGTAATAAGAACCCACCGAGACAGTGACAACCGACGCTTCATTTACTTGTATGTGCGCCTGAAACTTGTTTTTTTCTTTCATGCGTAATCAGGCGCGAATCCACACCGCCTTGACCGGCGTCTGTAAGCCGGTGGGAATTTTTCAAGAGTGTGGTATGAAGACAGCATTCCGTTCTGAGTTTTTTAAATTGAGATGTATATGTACCTTCATTATTAGTGAGTGTTTAGCCAAATCTTATGTTAATCATGATCCCCATTAATGTTTAAGTAAAGATAAAGTAACAGGCGCTGAGCTTTACGCGAAATAGAGCAGATAATTGGCGAAGTAAAATGTCCATGTCAGGTATTTCTAAATATTGTAATGTAAATGCACGAAGTGTAAATTACCATAACAAGGGTGCATGCATTGCCTAGATATATGTTAATTTATTCTACAACAGCTTCTGTTAATTCAGTTAATCATTATGATTACGTTTTATCGTTACTATATTCATCTTAAATTCAGGTACTTTTACAAGTTTAACTGCTGGTTTACAGAGACATCTCCGCGATGAGTGCGATCGGAGGGACGCGTGGCTTCTCAAGGAGGACGATCCCTATTTCAAAGGTTTTCGTGAGGCCTTAGACCCCATTTCCATAGATTTTAGATAGATCTATCCCTGTGGGGAGTCTCACTAGATTACTGTCAGCTTAGCCGGCTTAAGAGTCTGTCCCGCCTACTAAAAGCTGTAAGGGGGTAATTAACTATGGTGCGCGCACGGCTGACTGCAATTTAGCGTGAACCCCCAGGGAGTTAGGTCGATCTAAATCTTAATCTATAGATCGATCTAAATCTCTGGGAATACACCCTTAGACTCTAGAAGGAAAACGTTGTTCAAGGAAGGGGTCGGAGTCGTACCAAAACGCTCAGATCCCGTGACGTCGGACGACGAATTACAACTGTGGGAGAGCGGCGTGTTAAATACCACAACTAGCACTGGACTCTCTTACTGTGTTTATTTTTATAATATGAAAATTTTCGGTTTTAGAGCTCGAGATGAACATGACGGCCTCATGGCCGAGCAATTTTCTTTTGGAGTGGAGGGGGGTAGGAAATATGGTATAGATAAAGTACGAGGCGCTGAGCTTTACGAGAAAAAAAGCAGAAAATTGGCGAGGCGAAGCCGAGACAATTATCTGCTCTATTTCTCGTAAAGCTCAGCGCCGAGTGCTTTATCTGGCTTAAAGGTATACCCCTGTAGATAAAGTACGAAGCGCTGAGCTTTACGCTAAACAGAGCAGATTATTGGCGAGGCGAAGCCGAGACAATTATCTGCTCTTTTTCGCGTGAAGCTCAGCGTCGAGTGCTTTATCTGGCTTAAAGCACGGTTCATGTGCGGTGACACCTATTGCGTCTGTGTCATGCAGTAGGTGACAACGCAGAAGTAACAACAGAAAACGACACCTCTCTTACTCAACTGATGGAAATTCCAACACAAACTCTCTTTAAAGCTGACATTAAAGATGAGCAGCCGGAGAGGTTCGAGAAGCCGTTGACTAGTTCTGAATTTTCTCAGAATTTGGCAGACAGAATACCAAACAAAACTCAAACAAGTACTAAATGGGCCATAAATCTGTTTAGTGACGGCGGACGTTAATTCCCTCGCCACGAAACATCCCCACTGACGTAAAAAACAAAACATTCACCAGCCATTTCAATTGCTAATTGGTCGATTCTTTGTATAAATTTGTTTAATCCGTTCTTAAAGTTCGATCTATATATTTTAGATAAAACTGAAACAAGAAGGAAAATAAAGCAAGAAACGACGGCTGTCTATCTGCCTCATCTAAAGAAAAAGCTCCAATCTAAGAAAAATAAGTTCGCAGAATTAAAGCAGGAAATTGATGTGTGAATACAAAAAGAGCAACAGATGGCCACTTTTTATATCATATTAATAAACAAATTAATGTACGGAGTTAACATTTTGTATACAAAATAATAATAAAATTTAGTTTATACGAACATATTTTGGTAGGAGTATAGGCGCTAATAAAATTATAATAATAATTCTTTATCTTGAATGAAAAAGACAAATAATGGTAGTTACATATATATTGGCTTTAACGTATCACATGTGAAACAATACAAAAGATAAACCGTCCTAAAAGAACAACGTTTTAACATATTAAATGTAAAGGTTCTCTTAAGACTGACGGATTAACAGATTTAATGTCAAGATTTTCATGGACAAAATCTGACTAGATATAATAACAACTCTTCTAGTCACCCAAGATTTACCAATGCCCCACATTGTCATCGCGACCAGTCAAAGCAAACATGTCAGGGCCTAGTAGCATTATTGAAATAATTTTCACGCTAACGATTTCAAACTATAAATCTCAGCTTGGCTGCACTGGAAATAGATCGTCAAATCTGCTGCAACATTCTGTCAGAATCGACTGGGAATATTTACCTTAAGCCGTTCGTGTCCTTCCAGCTATCATGTAGTTCTGAATTTCCCAGCTTGTGGGGTGACATACGAGATCTTAAATTTGTGTAGGTATATAATATGGGGCGGAAATGCCAAAGTAATAAAGCTCGAACCTTATTTAAGGGTTTCTTTGAAAAGGTAAGCCATCGCATAAAACGGAGGACTAAATATTCAATTAAACGCATGGATGTCCTTCATTCTTTTTAGACTTTTCAAACCCCTCCACTTCCTGATGAATATAAGCAAAGACACTGCAAAAACGAACACGCCAAAACATGACGCCATGGACAGGAACACTGCGTAGTAGCTGCCTGTGACGCCACGAATGTAGCCTGAAAAATAGTATGGGCATAAGTGACAAATACTGATATGAAAGATTCCAACAGCAGAGCATTAGTACCTTCAAATTTCCCTCTTTCTAGGCACTGCGAGTAAATAAATCCATATCGCAATGTTTACCTTAGTCATAAATACAAACTTGTCATTTAACATGTAATTTTTTTCAAAATCATATTTTTCATATATTAATGACTGTGAAATGAAAACAAAATGCTCTTCACGGTGTCTTAAATATCAGTGTGGTATTAATTCTTTAAATGAATCCCTTATTTCTGGAAATTAAACTGGCTGTTCACGGGGAATTGTAAATGTGTAACAACTGGACCTACCCGCCAAGTAGGGTCCCACAGTTCCTCCAACACCTTTGCTGAAACGCATCGTCATGAATAACGTATCGATATTTTCTCCGTCCATGATTTCATTGTTGACTGGATAATACCCGGCAAGGTATGGACCAAGAACAAACCCCGTGACTAGAAAAATTATATTAAACTTCGTTTGGAATAATTGCCACGTAAAATTTTATAATGTGACTATTATGCAATCCTGGTCTTTCTGTAAGAATGGTAGCCATATGACATGCGAATGGGCCGTTAAATTCAAGCATTCGTATATAGTTAAAAAATCCCCATACGTGTTTAGCTAGATTCTTGCCAAATTAACAACACTGTAACTAGAATAACGTTAGAGAATATATTCGCAAAATCCTAGACGGAAGCTAATCACATAGGTCATAATTCAATTATTAAAAAGCACTCACTAGCACAATACACATATGAAGCAGTCAAAGATGTCGAATATGCTGCAATAATATTATTCACACTGAGCACCGTAGCCGCCACAGAGTTCGCCACCATGATATTCCCCTTCACATGATCTCCAACAAATGAGGCAAACGTCTGTCCAATCATGCCCATGATCCCGAATACTGTTAAAACCTTCACTGCGTCATTTTCTTTATAACCAAGGTCTATCAAATGTTTTGGCTAAAGAAACGAAATCCATGGAAAATAATAGATATACTATGTATCAAAATTAAAATCCAACTGCAGATAAATTTAAGAATCATAATCAACCAAGAATTATGTGAAAACCTACTATCACACGCTGTAAGCTGTTTGGTAGAGATTGGAAAGCACACTCTAACTCACTTTCTACTACGTCCAGTCGCTTCTTATCAGCAGCCAATATCCCAATACGCTGTTAAATACTTCTATTTAACAAAGTGGCCTTTTAATGACAAGAAATATAGATCTTCAGGCGGCAAAAATGGGTTTCAAAAAAGTCTATACTGTTTTGAAAACTGCTGAGAAAATCCTTTTGATCGGTTAATCTGTTTTCGTTTCCTAAGTTTCAAAATTGTTTGCCACACTCGTGATGTTTTTTTCGGCGTAATGCTATTTAATCAGCTCTTTACCATTGATTTGTAGGGCTGTTTAATTGGATGCTATTTAAATAGCATTTAAAAAACTATTTAGACATGTGAAACATACAATAGCCATGAGGTTTACTTTACATACTTACTAATATAACCACTGGTAAGAAATAAGCAAATCCTTTACAACACATTGCCACAGCCCAGATTCCATGAATGAAAACTTTAGAACGCCCAGACCATGGCGGTTTCCGAATAAACGTTGACCTGAAAGACCATCTTTGTACTCTTAAAACAAAAACAAATTACATTTACATCTTTAGAAAAAGTAAAGTTTGCTTTTTGCATATCTCACTCAACTTGCGTCTCATTGTGGATTACACAGGTGAAAATATAACTTCAAAATATTCAGATATGGCTGGAGGCATGCTCGACTTCATGGGGGGAAAATACCGCCCAGCTGCCGCATTAGGCTTGAGAGCCAGCAAACAAACAATTTATCTTTCACTGCCAGACCAGGAACTTCACTGCCAGCAGCAGGTACCCGGACGGGGTCGACTAGCAAAACCTCTTCAATTTGTATTGGCTTGGAATTTTCTCCGCAAATGAATTTTTTTGAAGTAATATTTATTTATTTATTTATTTATTTATTTATTTATTTATTTTTCTTGGATATTTGACACCTATGATGGCTTTATCAAATCATCGAAATTAGCAGTGATTGCTATCGAAGTTATTTTTAACATTGTAAGGATTGTATACTGGTAAATTTCTTGGTTTTAAAATGTGGTATGGTTCAATGTCAAAGGCATTTTATATGCGTCTGTTTATTTCAGTGTTAATTGGCGGAGCTTTTGGAAATTCCATGATGCCCATGCAAAGGTTTTTGGTACTTTTAGAATGCCTTTTATGCGACTTAGAGAAATATACCAGATGATGCTTATTATATTGCCTTTTTTGTGGGTGAAACTGCATATTTTCTGGGCCATAAGGAAAAAATTCTTACTTCTGACAGCAGATATCAAAATTAACATACTTTTCATTTGCTCCATCTTCCTGTTGTTCTGTGGATGCTACTGGAGGACTGCCGAACACCACAAGTAGAAGAAAACCAAAGGATCCAAAAACAGCAGCATAAAGTCTAAATGCCCAGCGCCATCCCAGGGACGGGTCGGAGCACATTTTGGCATTGACAGCATTTAAAATTGATGGACCTGAAGTAATAGTTAAGAGTATGTGGATAACTTTACGTGCATCATTGAGAAATGGAAGCACACACACACACACACACACACACACACACTCAGAGAGAGAGAGAAAGAGAGAGAGAGAGAGACAGAGAGAGAGAGATGTTTAAAAAGATAACAATTGTCCGCGAAATTCATATTTCACGAGAAATACATTGTAAACAGCCCATAGATATATAATAAATTCTGTTTTACCACCAAAACAGCGGTTATTTTATTTATTCTGGAATGTGTGCTTGCCTTCAGAACATAGATGGCGATACCTTCGTAATAATCTCTTGAAAAATTATAACACAAAATCAAACATTTCAGAAAAAAAAACTTGAATAACTTTGAATTTCATCATGGATTAATTAACCATTGGTAAATATGGGAAAATCGTCTTTTACCGCATAAAAACCCGTTTTCTTCGAACAGTTGTTATCCCTGTAAGGAGTTGTGTGGGTGTGGCCCCATACTTACCAAGAAAATCCATTGAACCCAACATACTGTTTGAGAAAACATGAAACCGGTGAGTCCATGGGAACCAACGTGCCATCACTAAATGTGTGCATAGCACAAATAATCCACCGCCAGTTCCAAACATAATTCCAAAAGATACAGCCACAAACTGTGGACTATTGGCAAAAGACGTCAGAAGCAATCCCAGCACCATGAGAGATGCTCCAAGAGCTGTGAATTGCCGAAGACTGAACTCTCCAACTTTAGACAATGCCATGTAGATAAGGTTACTGAGGGATGTTTTGAACGCTAAGTACACCGAGAGCGGGGCCCCTGTAAAAAATAAATACAATTTTTAAACTTTGCGTTGGTAATAATAACATTGCGATTTTTTAAAAATTTAACCCCATTCATACACAGCACGGTGACAGGCGCCACCAGCAAGCCCGGGCATTCTAAATCGAGACTTCAAGTTTCAGAACGGTAATCCGCTGACATACTGATCCGCGGACGAAATATGGCTGACCTCTCTTCAAAGGATTGCTTAATCCTTTGATGGTCTCACTACCTCCACACGCGCCATTAAACGGATTAAATCTCGGCTCCGAGGTTTGATTGCTAGGCCCTTGCAGGGATTGCGTGTAAGAAGGCGGGGAGATTTAATCCGTTTAATGGCGCGTGTGGAAGGGGTGAGAACATCCTCTTGTCGAATACCAAGGGCGAGACACCCTTCTAATATGAACCACTGAATAGTAGGGAATATTTAAATATTCTTATCTACCTCCACTAAAACTCATCCCAGCATTCGAAGGCGAGACGCCTAAAAGGGTAACAATAACTAAAGAGAAAAACAAAGAAAAACAGAATACTCTTCATGTCTGTCTGAACAAGACATGGCTCATTACAGAAAACGAAAACGCCTAACCGTCCACTGTCACCCGTCTATCTTAAACTTTGCTAAAACCTGCGAGTTTACAGCTGAAAATACCAAAGCCATTGGACAAAAATCAAAGCAGTTCTACAGCATATCGACTGAGCTCAAACCACAATCGCCCCAAATCTAAGTGCTCAAATGACTCCCTTCGAATTAGAAAGCGCCTTTCTTCCTGAGCATATTCCACGGAGGCTAAGGGCTTTCATTGATCATGTCGACCCCCTGCCGATGTTACATGACAGAGAGTCTCCCATGATAGACAGTCCGCTTCCCATTCATTTGTACAGGTAAGCCTCGCCCTAGATTTTGACCCACTTAGGTCAGGCTAACCCTAACCATTATAACTAAATGGAGGGCGGGCTTTCTGTTACACGGGCCCTCAGTTTCATTACACTGGGAACCAAACACTTCAGTACAGGCGAGGAGATGAGAGGTACATTAATTGTCTTGACAGGACTGGTATAAATACCGACAAACCGGAAAGCCACAGGATATAGCCGTCCACTTCTAACATCTCAAGCGTGAAGGCATACACCAAATACAATGTCTGGGCGATCAAGAGGCTACTACAAATGGGGGCAAATGTCCAAATGTAGGTGCATCAAACCATGGAACTATTACTTCCATATTAGTCCATTAACCAGACGCCTGATTTTCAGCCACTGGTACCAAAAAGGGACGAATTCTCATAGTGATTTTTAGTAAGGCCTATGTCTCTAGTGTCCAAATATGTGTGATAGCCTTCTCATACTGCCATACTGGTAGCTTTTTGTGTGCTATCACACTTATGACACCACCGAGATTAGGCCATGAGCCAAAGAAAGACTACGTCGTAGATATGAATGCAGATTTAGAAAGGACCAGTGCCCATCTATACAGCTTTCTTATTCTTTTATTCATATTCAGCACACCATGTAAGGCGCGACAGGTTCAACTTTAATCCACGATCCTTCCCAAAGCTGCTGACAAAGCTAGCTTTTCAGTGGCGGATTTAGGGGAGGGGGTGTCTGAAAAAATTACGCCAATGGTCCACTTATAAAATAAGAATTTAACTAGCTGAATCATAGTTCTAAACTGTACCAAATGACACCTTTCGCTCTTTAAAATGCCAAAAAATCTTGGGGCCCTTCAGCAGGCCCCGAACCCCATGCCATGGGAGAGGAGGGCGTGGGTCGGCTTCACATCCGCAGCCTGTTATTCCTAAAAACCGGACACCCCCTTAAAATAACCCTGTAACCTCCCTGGCTCCTGTCCTTACTTCCATGCTACTATGAAACCACCACAACATATTTCGTCAATTCCTCCATTTAAAAGGATTTCAAATTTCTTGCAACAAACTGCAATGTACCAGTACTAATGCTACAGGGTTACCACTTAATATGGAATATTATTTTTTGGCGAGTAAATTTTCCACAAAATATTTATTTTCTCTCTAACTACTTTACATCCAAATCTGAGGTGTCACTCCCTGAGTAGCCAGGTGTGTTTCCTAATTACCATACAACTCTCGAAACAATTGATGCATGCAGTTGCATTTTCTGTGGTCAGAAATGTGAGGGGTGGTCTTTTCGGCAATTTCTGCCCTTGTATAAAAACGCATGGGTTTGGTCAATCTTTGGAGTGTGTTTAGAGAAGCAACAAAGGGATCGCACTGAAACTTGACAGGTACCTTATTGAAGATATGGTTCGACAGCTAAGCAAAGCAGCTTACTATGGGACTCTTGCTCTCAGAGAAAATGTCCAGAAACGGACAGCCATTGCCAGGTAATTCAATATTTATCAAGAACCGTTTGTAAAGTCCTCCAAAGAAATGCTGCAACAGGGGCACCTGCTCCAATACCTCGACCAGGGTGTCCGCGTATCACACCAAGAAGACAGGATCGCCTTCTCCTTAGAGGACGCCGTGCTGGTCGTACAAATGCAACCAGTGTCCTCAGAAAAGAGAGGCAGAATGTCATTCAAACGCCCGTTTCAAGGTCAATCGTGAACAAGAGATTACTGCAAGCCGGTTATTTTGCACGAAGGGCAGTAGGGAAACCACTGTTAACAGCAGGTCATATACAGCGACGCCTGCAATGGGCTGGGGACCACGTGCGTTTGCAGCCAAAACACTGGAATCACGTCGTTTTCAGTAATGAGGCCACATATGGATCTTTTAGGGTTGATGGTCGAATCCGTGTCCACCGACGTGTACGAGGGACATAAAACGATGGTTGTGTACTACCTAGGGTGCAAGCAGGGGGTTGTAACGTCTCTGTTTGAGGAGAATTTCATGTCGGTGCCCAGAACCAGTTGGTTTTTGTAAGAGGCAACCTCAGCCAGGATTCCTACAGAGACATTCTACGGCAAACGATGCTTCGATTGGTAAGAGCCATCTTCAAGGACAACTTTGTGTACCAAGACGACTGCGCAACCCCACATCGAGGCCGCAGAATCACTGTTTTTCTTCAAAACCAATGGGTTCAGCAACTGCCCTGGCCTACAAACTCTCCAGATATGAACCTAATTGAAAATCTTTGGGCAAAAGTAACTCACAAAATTANAGTACACCGAGAGCGGGGCCCCTGTAAAAAATAAATACTATTTTTAAACTTTGCGTTGGTAATAGTAACATTGCGATTTCTTAAATTTTAACCCCATTCATACACAGCACGGTGACAGGCGCCACCAGCAAGCCCGGGCATTCTAAATCGAGACTTCAAGTTTCAGAACGGTAATCCGCTGACATACTGATCCGCGGACGAAATATGGCTGACCTCTCTTCAAAGGATTGCTTAATCCCTTGATGGTTTCACTACGTCCACATGCGCCATTAAACGGATTAAATCTCGGCTCCGAGGTTTAATTGCTAGGCCCTTGCAGGGATTGCGTGTAAGAAGGCGGGGAGATTTAATCCGTTTAATGGCGCGTGTGGAAAGGGTGAGAACATCCTCTTGCCGAATACCAAGGGCGAGACACCCTTCTAATATGAACCACTGAATACTAGGGAATATTTAAATATTCTTATCTACCTCCACTAAAACTCATCCCACCATTCGAAGGCGAGACGCCTAAAAGGGTAACAATAACTAAAGAAAAAAACAAAGAAAAACAGAATACTCTTCATGCCTGTCTGAACAAGACATGGCTCATTACAGAAAACGAAAACGCCTAACCGTCCACTGTCACCCGTCTATCTTAAACTTTGCTAAAACCTGCGAGTTTACAGCTGAAAATACCAAAGCCATTGGACAAAAATCAAAGCAGTTCTACAGCATATCGACTGAGCTCAAACCACAATCGCCCCAAATCTAAGTGCTCAAATGACTCCCTTCGAATTAGGAAGCACCTTTCTTCCTGAGCAATATTCCACGGAGGCTAAGGGCTTTCATTGATCATGTCGACCCCCTGCCGATGTTACATGACAGAGAGTCTCCCATAATAGACAGTCCGCTTCCCATTCATTTGTACAGGTAAGCCTCGCCCTAGATTTTGACCCACTTAGGTCAGGCTAACCCTAACCATTATAACTAAATGGAGGGCGGGTTTTCTGTTACACGGGCCCTCAGTTTCGTCACACTGGGAACCAAACACTTCAGTACAGGCGAGGAGATGAGAGGTACATTAATTGTCTTGACAGGACTGGTATAAATACCGACAAACCGGAAACCCACAGGATATAGCCGTTTACCTCTAACATCTCAAGCGTGAAGGCATACACCAAATACAATAGTCTGGGCGATCAAGAGGCTACCACAAATGGAGTCAAATGTCCAAATGTAGGTGCATCAAACCATGGAACTATTACTTCCATATTAGTCCATGAGCCAGACGCCTGATTTTCAGCCACTGGGACGAATTCTCATAGTGATTTTTAGTAAGGCCTATGTCTCTAGTGTCCAAATACGTGTGATAGCATTCTCATACTGGTAGCTTTTTGTGTGCTATCACACTTAAGACACCACCGAGATTACGGCATGAGCCAAAGAAAGACTACGTCGTAGATATGAATGCAGATTAAGAAGGGACCAGTGCCCATCTATATAGCTTTCTTATTCTTTTATTCATATTCAGCATACCATGTAAGGCGCGACAGGTTCAACTTTAATCCACGATCCTTCCCAAAGCTGCTGACAAAGCTAGCTTTTCAGTGGCGGATTTAGGGGAGGGGGTTGTCTGAAAAAATTATGCCAATGGTACACTCATGAAATAAGAATTTGACTAGCTGTATCATAGTTCTAAACTGTACCAAATGACACCATTCGCTTTTTAAAATGCCAAAAAATCTTGGGGCCCTTCAGCAGGCCCCGAACCCCATGCCATGGGAGAGGAGGGCGAGGGTCGGCTTCACATCCGCAGCCTGTTATTCCTAAAAACCGGACACCCCCTTAAAATAACCCTGTAACCTCCCTGGCTCCTGTCCTTACTTCCATGCTACTATGAAACCACCACAACATATTTCGTCAATTCCTCCATTTAAAAGGATTTCAAATTTCTTGCAACAAACTGCAATATACCAGTACTATGCTATGTACCAAAAGCAAAAGAAAAAGCCTTACCCAGCAGTGCAAGAGACGACTCTGGAAATGTTTCATCCTGTTGGAAACACAAGATTACCGTTCCCCACGAACCTTTAATTCCACCTTCAATAAATAATAGAAGAATAGCAATCCCTAGTACAACCCAACCTCTGTAAATAACGGGAGACAACATTGTCGTGTGCATGTGATGTCGTGTGTTTATCCCCAGTGTCCTCTCAGCACGTGTCTTCTCAGTTCTGTCTAACTTAATTGAACAGAAATAACATGTCCCTGATAGGAATATGAACCCGCCAAGACAGTGACAACCGACTCTTCATTTACTTGTATGTGCGACTGAAACGTTTTTCTTTCATGTATAATCATGCGTGGATTCACTCCGTCTTGATCCGCGTCCGTAAGCCGGCGGGAATTATTCAACAGTAAAGAATGATGACAGCCTTCTGAGTTTTGAAATGGAGATGTACCTTCATTATTAGCACGTGTTAGAAAAATCTTCTATTAATTATGATCTCCATTAATGTTAAGTAATGAATATTTATTTTGTCATGATCCAAATCATGGTGGTAGTGTTTTAATAGTTGACAAACAGGGGAGAAAGCATGCACTCTCCTTTCATCTTAAATCTCCCCTGCAACCTCATTCAATGATTTAATAGAGTCCGAGATGCTTTGTGAAATAAACTGTACCATATAGTACTTTCAAGCTGCAATATATATTCAATCATTTGGTCTAACGAGCTTCAGGTAGCTGAACTTGACTTTTAAATATAGTAGTAGTATCGGGGAGGGGGGGGGATAGGGCGGGGGGGGGGTTAAGTGTCACATTGTGCACGATTTATTAACAGTGGTTTTGTGCATGGTAGTAAGTTAATGTTAAAGGGATAACAACTGTTCGTATGAGATTCACATTTCACCATAAATAGGCCTACCGCCATTGTTAACAACTAATAGAAATATAATCAGTTATCGTAGCTAGGCCTATGTGTTAACATTATTGTTAAACTTGGACATTATTACGATATTTTAACACCTGAGCAAATAACACTGCATGTACTCACATAAACATAAAGGTAACACATGTGAATACAATTAGGGGCTTAGGGCCTACATGTTTTTATATATATAGGACCTATATTTAGGCCTACTGGAAATATTATCGATCGTTAGGGGCCTATAAAAAATATTTTTAAACCCCTGTTAAAAGGCATATTTTAAAAAATCCAAATCTACAACATCATATTTGAACATTATAATAAACATTAAGATAACATTTGTGAAAAAACATTTACATGATGGTTTTAAAACATTGTTGTGTTCGGTGGATTAACCCGATCAATAGGGATTTGTGGCGCGTGGATCGTAAACTCTAAAAACTTTGACCTAATTTTCTCGACTGAAATCGAGGTCTATTTCCCAAAATGGCGGCGTCCATGAACATGAATCTTGATTGGTAAGTCCCGTCATTCACTTCAGTTCTATACGTCCCGATGACAGCCAACAGTAACCAGAATTCTCAGAAAACAGGGATATTAATAATCACATTTATTTGAATCCGCAGAGAACATTAAATGGACAAAATGCCGATGCATTCCTTTGTTTGGTTGTACGTTTCCCACCCTTTAACTCTTTCTTTGACCTACTTTCCACAGTCGGGTTTTGCGTTGAAAAAGACGAAGGTTTTAATCTGTGTTGTCTCGTTATTGTCTGTGGAATTAGACATCATATCACTGATATCAAGCTGTCACTTTAATCCAAGTGTCAGGAATATCTCCTAGGGGGTTGGGATCGGGATTTTGTCAGTTTTCGGCCTTGCATACTACTCTAGGTACTTGAGTCTCATGTGTTAGCACTCCTAGACAAGTTGTTTTAAGATATGCACAATGTCATATATGTAGACGCATGAAAGGTGTAAGTGCATAAAACTAAAAAGTGACCCCAGATAGCTCGTCCACAGCAATTTGGGGGTACTCACATCTCATCCTCGCTCACCTCCACCGCCTCAAAGTGGCCACTCCTGAAAAGGAAGCGGGTCTTGCCATCAACAGTGCTCTGAACACTTCATCCGGTCAGATCAAGGCAAAATAGTTTGCAGTTTGGTAGATATGCTACTTGTCTATAATTTTACAGGTATATACACCTGTATTTTTCATGTGTTTACACATCCTTCCGATCACAAACCATAAATAGGTGTGCTAATTTATAAAGACATGAAACTTCATACCAATGTCCCAAGCAGTAGTAGTAATGACATGAAAGTTTCAGTTTGTATTATTGTAACACATTTTATATAAGGATACTGGCTTTAACATTTACATTACCTCCAAGGCATTTATATCTAACTAAATTTTATGCACACGTTTGTATATTGCTTAATTCCTATTGACACTTGATTATTAAAAAAATTCTTATTATGATAATATATGCTGTTCTTGACTTCTTTTTTCCTCAGGTAGAACATGGCAGCAACTATGAGCTCGAATTTAAAGAGGACACTGGTAGACCAAGATCCCGATTATGATGAAATTGTTGATTCTCAAAGCAAGAGGAGGAGGGTGATAGAAAAAGATGGTAGTTATATCTGATGCTCTGGATTGATCCAGTTCTGATTCTTTTCAAATCTTTTCGGCAGCATGGAATACATTTTTGGTTTCAAGTTTAAACAAGTCTTTTTTTTATGACACAGTACGGGGTGATGAAGTTTTTCCCCACTTTTTGCCATTGTCGGACAAAGAATGGTTTTCTGGGTAAGTACCTAATAAATAAATTAAAAAAAGACTGAAATTGTCAGAAAAGCAGCATCTCATAATTTTTATTAATTTTCCCCATTTTCAGCAAAAGATGCAACAGTCCACAGAATTGAGGCTATAATTCAGAGTCAATTTTCCCAGGAGTTTAAAAACAAGGAGGCTGAGGCTGAAGAAATTGACAGGGTAAGCACACCATGGGGTCCATTTGTTAATTAGTATTGGTAGTTTTTCAGTTTTACATATAACATATGGTTTTATTAGTATATAGAAATATCATGTTTAATACAATTTCAGTATTTACTGTAATTAAATTTAAGATTAACACTGCTATGTTATTAATGCACAGACCCCTCCATTCATTCATTAGTATTGGTTATTTTCAGTCTTACATATAACAAATGGTTTTATAAAATACCTTGGTTAATATGTTTAGAATTATATAGATACCTATTGTAATTGGAATTTACTTTAACTATACTTTTTTGGTCAGATTAACTTGCTTTGTTGTAAAGTATTGTTTGTTTTAGTTTGAATTGTTTCATAGTTTGATCTAAGGGTGCTTTCCCAGAGATTTAGATCGATCTAAAGATTAAGATTTAGATCGACCTAACTCCTTGGGGGTTCAGGCTAAATTGCAGTCAGCCGAGCGGGCACCATAGTTAATTACCCCCTTACAGCTTTTAGTAAGCGGGACAGACGCTTAATCCGGCCAAGCTGACAGTAATCTAGTGAGACTCCCCACAGGGATAGATCGATCTAAAAATCTATGGAAATGGGGTGTAATTTGTTCTGGTCTTTAACTTCCAGAGGCTTCAACAGACACGGACAATGTTGGATAGACTGAGAGCATGCATAGTGGCCAGTTACTATAGCAACGCTGGGTCGTCACAGGTAAAGAGGCTGTGTTAATGGTAAACGTAATGGTCCTTTTAAAGTAAAAGAGTTGGTGTTTATACAGGACTCTGATTTGTCCCCTGCTGATGACTTGAAGTTGAAGGTCGTCAATACGTAGGTCACATTTTGTACCACTGAGGGTAATATGGGTTGCCATAAATTTAGTTTGTAAGCTGGGGATATAAGTTTGGCTTGAGATCCCATACTCCTGTGCTCTCTCATTTATTACATTAAATGTCATCTTAGTTCTTGTGAAAGATGAAATGAAGTTTAGAAAATGTTGACAAAGAAAAAGATGAGATTTATCACACCATTGACTTATTTTAAGGAATCTTATTTTTCTGGGCTAAGCATTTCATTACTTGTCATTATACAAGAAGATTAAGCCCAATATTTATTATTGGTGTGCGTCATTAGACCAAAATTTATGCTTAATTATTATTATTTACATACCATTATTGTATATCATTAAATCAAATCACAGTCCTCATGTTAACAAGTTTGGTAAACAAAATCCAATACTTCACCATTACATCTAACTATCCATTACATACTTACAGTCCAAGTCAGAGCCAGCAATGCCTTCTATCCATCCTACTGTGAAAAAGCATTTGGGGAAAACGGTGAAGAATACAGAGGTGATTGGTCAGTCAGAACTAGGTCCAGGTCAGGGGTCACATGCTCAAGAAAGGGGTCAAGTTGGATTGAAGGAGCAGAGTTCTGGGAGCAGTGTGTCTGGGAAGAGTGAGAGAAGAGAGGTACAGGTCATCACAACTTGTTTAAAGAAGAACAAATGTTTAAAGGATAATATTTGTTAGCAGGAAACATGTCATGTATTTTGATCGTTTTATATTTTAAGATGGTGTCTGCATTGCAATTTTTCAAGCGTTTCAGAATACTTAGAATGAACAAGGTTTCAAGATCTACATTTTTACTTGATATGGGCTGATATGGAATTGATATGGAATGCTTCTGTTGTTAGAACAGTGATGTTTTGAAGATGCAAAAAATGTAAATGTTTACAAAGTTGTGCTGAACAAAACACTGCCTGTGTAGTGTATGTGATTTTTGTCTCTGATACTGACTTGTTCTTGTAGAATCATTTTCATTTGTCTGATATTATTTTCACCCAGACACAGTGTTCTCAAGCAGCCCCTGCTGTTTCACCCTCCAGGGGAGGAAGATTTAAGATAAAAAAGAGAATCGTTGTGGGAAATGTGTCCAAGTACGTGGTTACTGTAGTCATGGCAACCTAAGTCTTACAGGCAGATATTTTGCCTTAGTCATATGATATGGCTTTCATCAAATTTATAATTAAATAAATTTGCTTCAGCCATAGTATAATATTTTTAATATTTGATGAAAAGTTTGTATGCAAGCATTTTCTTCTTGCTTTATTGTTTTTTCAAAAAATGCAGAATAATTTTATTGCCTTACAAATTCAAAATATTGCACTGGGTTATATGATAAATTTTTTGTCCCTTTTTTCTTCAGCAGAAAGTTAAATATTTGACAATAATCTTGAAGATACATATAAACCTATTTTACAATTATTTTCAGATATATTCCTTTTGAAAAGCGAGATGAGAATGACCACGCGACGCACAAATGGATGGTATACGTCAGAGGGTCTAAGGAGGAGCCGCACATTGATGGTTTTGTAAAGAAAGTGCGCTTTTTTCTTCACCCCAGTTACAGACCTAATGACTTGGTGGAAGTTAGGTGAGATGAAGTCTCAGTGATCAAAACACCTTACTGATCTATTCCAGAATTCTGTATTTAATGTCCATGACCCTTGGATTTAATGAAGTTCCCCAGGGGTCCAGAGTGTAATCAATAAACTAATTTAAATTAAATCACATCATACACGCCCAGGCACGCAATAGCTAGCACATATCATCCCTGGGCTCCGTATCTCGAAAGGTTCGCTATGTTGCGCACGTGCGCAAGTGTCTCGATTCCATAACCGATTCTATTTCGAGATACGGGGCCATGGAATTGAGACACTTGCGCACGTGCACAACATAGCGAACCTTTCAAGATACGGAGCCCTGATCTATTTATATCTTCTTTATTGCTAGCAACGCCAACTGCAAGTTTAGTGATTAATACTTGGCCAATTAATACAGTCTTTATTCACACACACACACACACTATTCCTGGCATATTTTTTTATTTTCTTCTAGTCAGCCTCCATTTCACCTGACGCGGAGGGGGTGGGGGGAGTTCCCCATCAGAGTCCAGCTTCACTTTAGGGATCAGCGCAATAAAAGCGTGGACATCATTCATCAGTTGAAGGTGAGTGACTGGGTCAGTTCTGTCTTTACGGATAAGTTATGCCTTGTTGGTGGAGGGGAATCACAGAAAAAACAGATTTTTTTTTTTGCAATATTAAGGTCTGACATGCAGTGTATGCCTTTAATATCTGTGAAATTTGCTTCAAAACAAAGAAAAAAGGTTTATTTACTTTCGTCACAGTTCTTAATACAAAGAAAGGTAAAATGTGTATTATTGGTAGCATGCATCTCAATTATAATTTTACTTAAAGGACCATATGAATTTCACATTCCCAAACTTTTCCAAATTGTGGGTTTTATCTATTTAAGCACTCTCAAGTGATGACCAGTGAGTACTTGATACTTGTTGAGGACCCTGGAAATTTTTTCATCAAAAATTGTATTGAGTCCCTTAAAGCTCTATTTGAAGCCTGTTGGAAGATAATGACTGCCTCTGTTTACTTCTAGCTGGACAGGACTTACACTGGCTTGCAGACTTTGGGAGCTGAAACAGTAAGTTGTTTTTACATAAGTGGTCCTCATTGTTTAAGTCTGAAAGCATTATTAGAAATCTGTGCCTTTTTTTGTACAGATTCTTCCATCTCCCCTTTCTATTATCAGGAAAAAAGTAGATTGTTACATGTTGGAAGAGCATTTATTTGATTAAAAGTATACTATCTGAGTATGAAAATATCCCAAAGTCATATTATTTATATCCTGCAAAGCCACTGAAGTTTCAGAATTAAAAACAATTCAATTCCTCAAATAAAAGGACATGATGTTTAGTCTAGTATTTTTTTTCTGAGGTGTACAGGAAGACATATAGATCTAAACATTACAGGAATTATATCAAAACCAATTAATTAGATATGGTATAAAACCTCAAATTCTATGAAAATCGACTAATAGCATAATAAACATATCATCTTAACTTTAAGGTTGTAGATGTCGATCTAGAAAAAGCAGAGAGTATAGTCCCTGTCGCAAAAACAGCTGCTGCGACATTGACAACATCAGCATCACCAGTAGCAGAAAGCGTAACAAACCATACAGAATACCAGATGAAAAGAACAGAAGAAAGTCATTCTAAGCTAAAATCTAGCTCAGACACTGCTAAAGTGAAAACTGCTGGAGATAAATTTAATCAAGTTGTCACTCCAGTGAAAAAGAATGGTTTGGTTCAGAATGCCATGAGTAGTACTGAAAGCAATACGCCCACTAAAAACTTTTCTGACCCTGTTTGCCAATTACAGATGAAGAAAATAGACAACTCTCATTCAGGTCATCAGGAGAAGCTTGGGGTCGGCACAGCCCCTCGCGATAACTCTAAAAGTCCTGTGGGAAAAACAAAATGTGATTCACTTAAAACTGACAATTTGGGAGGAAGCAATTCTCCGGGACTAAAAGCAGCAGCTGCATTACCTTTGATGGGATCAGCCCCAATAGACACCAAAGCCAAAACCACCTTGGCATCTGTGGTAACACAGGAGAATTTACCAGTGATAAATAGCAATACAGATCAAATACTAATGACTAAATTGCCACCAGGTAAACAAACTCCAGTGAAAGTGAAACTCCCTGCAGCAGACAGCAAAGTGTCGGCAGCTGGCTCAAGTAATGTCTACGTCAGGTGTGTTGATGCCCAGGGCAAAGTCTACCTCATTCCGCAACATTTATTGGTCAAAAGCACACCAGGGGGCGCCACAGTCCCACATGGTGCAGCCATACCTCAGGGGAAAGTCCTACAATTGAATTCAGGTTCGGATGTCTTGTTGGGAGGCAGACTGAGTCCCAAAGGTCAAGGTCAGATGCTGTCACTTGGCCAAGGTCAAGGCTCCCAGCCAATTGTATTTTTGCAAAACAGTGCACTTGTGCAGGGGAATTCATCTCCTGTACTGCAACAATCTCCTACAAAATTAGGTCGATCTGTTTCAGGGCAGAATACTGGAGTGGTGAAAACGGCATCCAGTGGTGCTGTAAACTCAGCCACAAGCCTTTTAGGAAAAAGCTTCACAATCTCAGGGACAAGAATAGGTGGACTGAATAACTCCTCAAACCAAGCTGTCACTGCTGCCGTTACATCTCTTCTTAGGTCGCCTCAGAAAGTAGGTCAAGGTCAGCAGGCACAAGTGGGAATTCAAGTTCAGGGTCAGATTATAAATTCAGGTCAAGGTCAGGTGTCAATATTGAAGCCTGGGTCTGTGCTGAAAGGCATTGTGAAAGGCACCCCCTCACCCAGTTTCTCCCCTGGGAGAGCTGTGTTGATACAAGGGGGCACTCCACAGACACAGAGATCAGGGAGTACCACCCCAGGGGCATCACCCCAGAGACCCACCTCAGCCCAGGGGGTGTATATCAAGTCAGAACCCGGCAGTCCCAGGGGTGGCACTCCAGTTAATTTAGTCTCTCTTCCTGGGTCCTCTCGTAGCAGTCCTGCCAGGTCACATCCAGGAACTCCCGTTCACCTCCTGGGGAGGGCGGGAACCCCTGTTAACACCCCTGGATCAATAATCCCCGGGCATGGTAGCCCCACTGGAGGGATAAGTGTGACCATAAAGCAGGAACCAGGGGCCCTCTCTGCTGCACAGCTGGGCATAAGTGCCCTCACTGGGTCAAAACCCCCTCAGACGGAGCCTGTGCAGTTTGTGGACCCAGGGGTGGCACCCCAGAATCTAGCAGGAGGCCAGAAGGTCCACCACCTTGTATTATCTCAGGGGATAAAGCAAGAGAGTGCTGTTGGTCAGGTGTTCAGTAACTCTGCTCAGTTGACTGTCGTCCAGAATGCCTCGAGTTCTGACTCAGAACCCCGTGCCAGTGACTTGGGCATCCCCACACAAAAGGTCACTTTGGGGACATCGGTTTCTGGTAATTCTGGTGGTCAGGTAGGACAGTGGACAGTGGTCAAGAGTTCAGTTGGGAGGAAAGAAAACCCTGCAGCTTCTGCTCTGTCTCAACCAGGTATGTGTATTGTCAATCCCCCCCCTTGCCCCTATGTGTGTGTGTGTGTGTGTGTGTTTTTCAAGTTCAATGTTATTTTCTTTTTTGTTATTTTAACATGTGTTAATTAGTGAAGTGAGAAAAAAATGTTTGCCTGCTGTTTTCATCACTTCTTAAATTGAAATGTTTTTTTAAGTTGCTGTTTTTTACGAATTAAAAAATAAGAAAAACAAGTTTAATCATAAGTCACCAACTGTTAAAATTGTTATTTGTTAATATCAGAACCTTAAGGTGCTTATTCTATTTGCAGCCCAGAACTCCATGAGTAAAGATATCAATGTGGCAGTTACCTCACCTACTGTGACAGTGACTGCCTCCTCTCCAGCTGTGTCGTCTGCCTCAACTTCAACAGTCTCTCAAAATATAGTCACCATGATTGGAGGACAGCCATTTTTGGTGTTCAACCAACAGGGCGGCGCCACCAGCACCTCTGGCACCAGTGCGCCACTTATGTTGGTGCCGGCGGTGCTGGGGAAAAATGTGCAGCAGTTTAATGTTGCCACAGGTAAGGTGAAGGATAAAAGGCTGAGAGAAGAATCTGACAGATTGTAGCTGTCAAATGTGGTTTGATATTTTATATTTATTTTAAAAAAGAGAGAGAAAATAAAATTTTCAATGTCAAAATGGGTTTGAATTAGCTTAAGTTCCACTTTGAAGTCCAACCAGTCTAAACCGTCTGTTTAAAATTAGAACAATTATTTTAGGGAATAGTAAGCAACCATCTGCAAAGTTGACACATGGCGCCACCTATGTGGTTGGATCAGCCAATGAAAAACATTTGTCAGAATCCAAGAGCATTATGTCCAAGAAAAACTCATTGGTAGCTGAGGACTCGAGGCCAACGGAAAATGTAGACATTGAGAGAGTAATCAGGTATAAATTTTTATCATACAGCCTAGGCTAGTACTCAAGTAGTTAAAATTTACCTGTGGCTGTGAATGTGGATGTTTTACTTTGTACAGTGGCAACATGGAAGTTTGTTGACAGGGCCTCAATGTAAAATGCATAAGTCTCTCACTCTGTCCTCTCTCTCTCTCTCATGCTCTTTACTTAAAACACACACACACAAACACACACACACACCTTATTCTCTTTCTCTCTCTCTCAACCTTCACTTAACCAATATGACAATTGATTATTTGATTTTTCTTTGCCAGTTTATCGGATATGGAGGACATGGAGTGTCTTGTGAAAACCTTGGTGAAACAACACCCCCTGGTGGCAACATACACAGGTAAAACACATTAAAAATATTCAGCATGACTATTAGATTGCAGAAGAAATGCAGATTTACTCCTGATAGTGTCAGCTCTTGAAATTGCCCAAGCCAAAATTATTGTTTGTTTTGTCACTCTGGAATGGGTCTTTCTCAAAAGGTTGGCTTTGTCTGAAATGTTAAGCCAGTTCTGTGAAAGATATTAAGTATATATTTGAAAATGATGTAGGAATTAAATTTGTGATGTGATGTAAGGGTGCTGTCTTAGAGGAGTTTGTCTTGTTTCAGCAGCCTCTGGTGAGGAGAATGATTCTCCACCCATTCACAGGCACTTGCATCCTTACTGTGCAAAGACAAAGGAAGATTTCTTCAAGTGGAATATCGGAAAAAGGAGGGCAGCTGAGGTGAGAAATTTTCTGCAGTGGTTGACATAAAATGAATGAATAAGATAAGAATCATGTTTGGTTTTTAACATATTACAAATTAAATATGTGTAGTATTAGTACTCAGTGGTTTACCTCTCTCTCTCTCACACACATAATCTATAGATAAAAACCAATAGTTTTGTGACTAGTAAGGATCATAATTGCTATAGCGTATGAGTATTGTGTACTTAAATATTCTTCTTCAGTATATGACATTAGATGAATGAATAACTTGTATTTTATTATTGTGTATTTTAATATTTTCACATCTCCAGTGGCAGAGAGCCTGCTGGGTAAGAAGAAAGATGAAAACACTGCTAGTGTGGAAAGAAGAGTTTAAAGGAGAGAAACTGTGGAGTACCAAGCAGATTATGTTGTGGTGCAGATATCATTGTTATACTCCAATTCTTCAAGGTCAGTATTAAAATTACTAAGTGTTTAAGTGTGCTAAAAGTTTAACAATTGATACCCAACTTTTGAAAACAAAGCACCCGTTCAGATTATTAAGAAAAGTAGATGAAAAGTAAAACGACAAAAAAAAAAAAAAAAAAATTATGCATCCTTTTGTTAAGATAAAAATTATGAATGAAATAGTAAATCTCCTGTTATAGTTTAAAGTACAAGTTGAAAAGATATAGATTAAATATATACTCTCTCACACATACACAGAGAGAGAGAGAGAGACAGACAGACAGACAGACAGACACACATTTGTAACAAACAGTGACATGAATGAAACATTTTCTGTTGTAATTGTTTTAGAATCAAGACAATTGGTATTTCCCAGTCTATACCACTCTGGACAGAAGTTTAGCAGTTACACTGGATCCAAAGATATGATGGAAAAAATAGACACCCTCATTGCCAAGAGAGGAACACAGGAAGAGGAAGATGTAGTTATAGATGTTCTTCAAGGTGAGATTTTCTGGCAAAAAATAAGATATCATTCTCACAAAGATTACAGAAAGTATGGTAAACACTTTAACGTGGTGGTAGGAGCTATCAGTTTGGTACAGATTTTTATCATGTTGAGAAAGATTGATTGTCAAAAATGAATTTGTAACCAAAAAATTAAAGATAGGACATGGTTTGTAAAAATGACCAAGAGTTTTTAAGTCGGTTATACAGATAATGTAAAAGATACAAGTTTTCTTTAAAAAAAAAAAATAGTGTCAAAGGTGATTCATGATCATATTAGCTTTAACTGAGAATTTACACATATTATGTTTGAATATTTGAATACCAGTTAAACACCCTTCGTGTACTTTAGTTTTAAGGACTTTCTAATTATCTTTCTCCGCCTTAAACACTTACAGATGTGTACACCTGTTCCAACAAATCTGATGTCAAGGAGGAGTCTCCAGTGAAAAAAGATCCATTACTACATACCCTTCCCATCAGTCCAGCTGCTGAGTTTGTGCACGAAACAGCGCGGGAAGTAAGTTTAAATCTACGAGCAGTAAGACAGTAAGACATGCATAGAATTTTGTACATGATTGAAGAAATGTTAGTATTGTTATTGCTGTGACATTTTTTTTGGTTATTCAACATGGCAATTTTGACAATGGTGTGACATGGCTACTGTTATTCCAGATTGGCATATGTTATCAGCCAGTTGAAGTTTGGCGTGACACTCAAGCTAACGTTCTGGAGGATATGATTCTCTCTGTGAGTTTTCTAGAGATGAATGTCAAAAATTTGATAATGATTTGTTTATCAGCAAAGAATTGGATATAAATTGAAGGACACTGGAGTTATCTTAAAGATAATTATTTTGAGAAATCTACACTTAAAAGCTGTCTACTTCTTAAGAAGTAAAAAAAAAAAAAACTACAGAAATCATAATTAATTACCAATTACTCATATAATTTCCTTTCCTTACCAGGCAGTAAAATGTTTAGCAGACGACATAATCAGAGGAGCATTTTCATTGGCTAGTCAAAGTAGGGGGTGAGTTTCAGTTTGGGGTATTTTCAAATAATGAAAACTTTTTTCTTCCATTGTTAACAGGTTTCATTTTATAAATAGTAAAATATGAATTAAAAGAAACTTTTCAATAATGTGGAAATATTTTTTTATTTTTATAATGTTAACAGGGCAACAAGTTCAGAACTTTAAAAAAATATCATTACTAATTTTTGCAGAGTTTTCTTTGATATAAAATACAGTAAGGAGTGTGTAGAAATTAACTTGATATTGATACAATATTACATGATGATAATACTTATATTATTATATTTACAGATTCCCAGAAGAACTTACTCCTATAGACATATACAGGTCAATTGAAGCACAAAAGAAATGCGATTTCCTCACCAATAAACATCTTGGAATTGATAGAAATGAAGCACTTGGATTGTCCAACATGTCTGACTCAGTGTCAAGATGACTTGGTCAGTTGCAGAAGCAGAGGAGAGGAAGTTTATTCTCAGGGACTTTATTATTTATTTGTTTCTTTTGTCACATCCTAATATAGATTTAAGACCAGTAGTTGCTCTTTTGTTAACATTTGGATTTTTCTCTGAATTATTTTACACTTGAGGAATTGTGAGATCTGTAATATAGTGACTGCTCTTTCAAATCAAGATCAGATTACGAGGCTCCACTCTGCATGCCTTGAGGACTGTTTCACATAGGAAAAATTAATGGAATTATATCCATATTTGGCATTTATTGTATTCAATGAGATTTGTATTTCAAGGCAAATACAGCAGTGTTTGACTTAGAGCAAGGTGGTTATATTTCTGAAAAAAAAAAGAAAGATGTCTTTTTGTATTTGTTCATGGTAGTAAAACATGCTGTAAAAAAAACTAAAACTAGAATGTACTGAAATAGGTATATGTATTAAAGGGTCGTATGGTTTGATTTAAATTGAAGTGTGCAGGAATGTGTAAGAACGTGCACGTGCACGTGTGCGTATGCAAGTGCATGCACACATCTGTCTTACATGAGGAGCTTCAGATAAAATATGGAAAGTACTACCTGATGCTAAAGGGTTAGGTCAAGGAAATTTAAAAGCACCTGATTTTTGGCCTTAGAGGGTGAATTTATAACATTTGTATACACCAAATATCTGTTTGGCCTAATTTTTACACTTAATAATTGAAATATGTCCTAAGGATGAACTATTTGATATTTATTATGTTTGTTTATAATTGTTGTTTTTTGCTGTGTGAGATGGTTTTGCATATTGAAACTGTCATTGTAAATGACAGCACTAGATGTTTGTTTCTGAAAGGTGGTTAAACGTAATGATAATAAGATTGGTTAAAAATGATAGACTTTGTTAATGTTAAAAATAATAAACTATTTAAATACATAGGTGAAATGTCTCGCTTGTTCTCTGATTGTTCGACTGTTCTTAAATACTGACATACTGTTCATACTGAAATACTGATTTTGTTATTTGAAGGTTCCGTTAAAACCTGCTGCCCTAGGCAATCCATTACAGAAAAAGACATTTTTGCGTATTTTAAAAAGTATCATTTCTTGAAATGCGCCAACAAGGAGTGTGCCAATTTCATCCCCCCCCCCCCCAATCCAAGATTTTTAAAGAATCGTGTGTTGTAACTTGGGAGTTCCCTCCCCTATCTCTCTCTCTCTCTCTCTCTCTCACACACACACACACACACAGAGAGAGAAAGAGAGAGTTCACGTTGACATTTCGACCGGAGTGACGTGGATCAGAATGATTCTAAAACGCCCCTTAACCTGGGTGTTTCAAATTATCCGTCTCTGACGCAAGTAAACTGTCAACTTGCGGCGGACTCCGAGAAAAAACATCTTGTACATACAAATATATTTGTCAATAGCTTTAGCACACAAAACTCATCTGGGTCATTCTGGTGATTGTTTCCGTAGCGGCTGCATAACGCTAGTCATAGCGGCAACGAAGGTTTTCTTCCAAAAAGGTGATTCACTGGAATTGGGACAGGGGGCGCCACTGCACGAACAGCTGTACAGCTGTATCTGGAACTGGTTCAAAAGTGTTGTATTAAACAGACGGAAAAAGACAGAATGTTTGTGCCTGTAGCAGAGGTTTTTCTAAAAATGGATGGGGAATCTGTTTACCACTGAAATGACAGATGCAGCATACTTGGACTTGGTCCAAATTAAATTGAGCTGAAGAGAAAGACGAGAAGCGGGTTCATTTAACTGGAGGGAAATGCAAGCATTCTTCTCATAATCAAAAAAAAAAAAAAAAAAAAAAAATGATAGTTATGATGTTAACGATTACACGAGAAAACAAAAACCCGAAAATTCCAGTAATACATACGTTGACTCCTATCTAGTAGAATTACCTGATTGTTAGAAAAGAAAATGGAAATGAACTCAGAATCTGTGGCCCAGTATCGTGAGCCGTCAGCCAAGGAACCTCTGACACGATCAAATCATCTCACCTACTGCAATCTACTGCTAATGTTTACACGTTTTCCGCTGTTCGTTAACCTATGTGTTTACAGTCTATATAAATTGTGCCAGAGATGAACATCGTTTCAAGGCTGAAATGTATTCACTGATTGTGCTATCTCAACTACCACAATTGGATGTCGCAATGGCTTTAGGTCTGTTCAGATGAGGTCCAATTTGGACCGGAGTTAAAACTAATTATTTGAAACAAACAGACATTTGTTTTTCCACAGTAGAGTAGATCATCTTGGAGCATTGGAACAAAGAGGTCCAGACGTTCCTCGGATTTTTTTATTCCGGTTTATGTTTTTATACGTCGAGAACGAGAATGTGAGGGAGCAACAAAACTTGGTGACAAAGCAAAGGAGGAGAGGTTGCTCTGGTACAGGTAGGGCCTATGTTAGACGGCGGGAAGAAACACGTGGGACAAAGAATGCTGGTTATGAAACCACCAGGAAAGAGAAAACGCAGAAGTTCGAGGAAAAGGTACATGGATGTGATCAAGGAAGATATGAAGGAGTTGGGAGTGGAAGATGACCATACGCAGGACCGGTGTGGGTGGAGACGGATAATCCGCTGTGGCGACCCCTAAGAAGGAACATGTCCGAAGAAGAAGAAGAAGTCAAATAAGACCAATTTGTGGTTTTAAAAGGTTTTCATCTGAACTGCCACTTGTTAAACTTACTACTCTGTGCACTTATCACTGCCTTCTTTCCATAATATTCTTCGCTTCCCTATTATTAATGTTTTTGAAATTTTTGGTTCGTTAGGAATTCACCATATTATGGAATATGTGCATGTATTAAATACTGATCATATTTTATGTGTGACATTCTGTAAAATAATTTTACATGTAAACTATTGTGAGCATCAAATGCACAAAAGTTGTAGTAAAATGTGGGAAGCGAATGCATAACTTCTTTATGATTTTATCTGCATCATAGCTTTATCTTTCTCAAATAAATAAATAAATAAATAAAGCAACCTACATGCACACTTTCTCTTTACTTACAGAAGTTATTAAGGATTTTTCACAACCTTCAGTTCAGTCGGTAAACCGCGCAACGAAAGCAAAGGTCAATTTATCTAAGCGTTAGAAACATTTAAACTTGTAGCTAACAAACAGCTGTAACCACCATAGACCTGAGCTGAACCCTGGGTTTTTATCATTTTTCATCCATTGGCAGCCTGTGAAACTTTCATGCCTGTGCCACAACAAATTCACACACACACCAAACAAAAAACTTTTAACGGATCTTTTCTTTTAAACATGCGGCTAACCGAGCTTTTAATGTATTGTGCAGCTGAAGAAATAAACCGTTTTAGTGCAGTCGGTCTTGACGTCATTGTACATCAGATTTGTTAAAACAAAAGATGTTCAAAGTTTGGAAATATTTATAATACACCCTAGTACTCATGTAGTTAAAATTTTCCACTGGCTGTGAATGTGGTCGTTTTACTTTGTACATTGGCAACATCAAATTGTACTCATAGGGCCTAAATGAAATATGTATTAAGTCTCTCTCTCTCCCTCTCTCTCTCTCTCTCTCAAACGCACACACAACACACACGCGCGCGCACCTAGAGCTTGTTAATTTTCACTGTGTGTGCGAGAAATGACACGCAACAAACATCTTAATTACTTGTAATTCAACTCGCCCTTTGTCCCTCTACAACCATTGTTTGGGATATACGTGCAGAGCTTGACTGAATGATATTTATGAGTCCATAAAAGACCCTCTTTGATTAATTGTTTCCTTCTTTTTTTTTTCTTGATAAATTGTTATCAATTTTTTTCTGAGTGAAATGCCAACTATGGCTGATTGTATTTTACGTTTCAAGATACCAATATGTAAATCATGAATTTCATATTAATATTTTGTATCTGTGACCATTTTAGGGACACGAAAAAGCAACGATGCCAGTTAGACCTCAACAGGATCTTTGTTTTTTTCCTGTTTAGAAGTTTTACACTTAACCAGAATATCCGGCAGCTATGAAATGGTAAACAGCCAAGAAGCTGGAACCTGGAAAGATAGTTCCGTTCACAATGGGCTATTTGAGACCGGAATATCTGTCTTTAACTTCCCAATTACAGTAAAATAAACCTTTTGCCCCCTTCAACATGCTCTAGTAATGACGCGATTTAGACTTGTTTTCGGTTCAGTGTAGTCTGCGTCTTGGCACAGGCTAAAAAGGTGCAAACTAATTTGTTTAGTAGATGACTCATAAATATTACTTTGATACCACCATAATTACTCTCTTTTGGTAAATTATTGTTTTTATTAAATTTGGTGTGTAAATCTTCTCGAATATCAATATCTTTGGAAAATGGCGCGTTAAAAAGAGGTGTCAGGAACTGAAAATATAACCTTCTTTTAAAACCTCTACTGAATACAAGATGTGTGAAAGTTTAAGAGGCCTCAGAGCATGAAAAACAGCAATATCACCTAATTTTGAGCTTAATAAAAACGCCCACTTACTATTCCGTCTGCTTGGAGAGGTCTAGGAGCCAACACAAGTTAATTGTTGGATGTTGGATTCTAGGAGTGGTTGATACTAAAACTATTTTTTCGCCTTTTTTAAATTTTATTTTGAAATTTGAACTTAAGATATTTGGTACTGTGCAAATTAAGATGGTATTGCAGAGCTATCAAAGTACTCTCATTTTGTTCTTATATATATATATATATATATATATATATATATATATATATATATATATATATATATATATATATATATATATATATATCAGCAACAATTGAAGAAGACCCGAGAATTGGAGAAAAGAAAAAAAGAAAGAAACTGGAGAAGGAAAAAAGGCAAATGATTATTCTTGTATGGGCAATTGAACAAATTTTATTTATGTCGGAAGCAGGTTCTCTGCGCAGAGGGTCATAATATTTCTTGATACGTATCGCTATTAGGGGTAACCTGATACCACGTATTTTGCTGCCTGGGATAATTTACTTGTCTGGGGGTTGTTGGCTGACAAAGATATATAGGAAGAACCTGATGAATGGAAATACACTTATGTTTGTGCGTGCGAGGGTGTGTGTGTCTGTTTGTGCGTGTGTGAGAGAGAATGAGAAAGAGAGAGACTGAAAGTGAAAGAGGAAGATGAGTAAATTGGCTTCTGAATTTGGCTTCTGAATTTGAAACAGAAATATCCAAATTATAAGAAATAAAGTCAAAGAAGGGACAGAATAAATGAGCAGAAATTAATTCACGTAGTCGCTTAACCTTGGTTGATCGTCCTTCCTTTATACTGCATCACGTTTTGGTTGATTTCCTACAGTATACATGCACTAAGCTTGTTAATATTGAATTCTCTACTTCTATGTTCATACATGTACACATGCATGGCATTAAAAACAAACTACCTAGAAACCTGGGTTGTGAAGTTTTTCCAAACGTTTAGTTTTGCAACTTGAAGTGTAAATGTTTTAACATTCTTAAAAGAACTAAACAAAAGAAAAGAAGCTTATTCCAATATTGAAGCCTAACAAAGTTTTTTAAACTGTAAAACGTATAATGATATTCTTCTCATCAATAAATACAGAGTTCACGATACTGCTGTCTCGAAGTTTTTAACGCAAATCTTGTTTAACATAAAAAACTTTAGTAAACGTTATGATCTAACTGAAAAGAACCGTGTGACTGAAAACTGCATTCGTCACTTGGAATATACATATTTCACACGTACTCACGATTGACTGAACAGAAAAAAAATGAAATATAATTATTTTATAATTTTCACAAATCCACCCACAGTCATTCTTACTCTCGAAGATTTTGGCCCGTGGTTGGCGTATGTCGGAGGCATTTATCCCCCCCCCCCCCCAAAAAAAAAGACAATTTTTGAGAAAATTTGTAGGATACCTAAATGTAAAGAG